CACCCTGCCCCTCCTCCCCCACCCGGGACCCTGCCCAGCCAGCGGCCAGCAGGCTCAAGCGTTATGAACACCAGCAACAACTCAACAACAGCAACTTCATAGCCGGTCACTAAAAAAGCAGCATCCCCAGGTGGAGTGGAACGGAGCCTGCTCCAGATAGCAACAGCATGATGGTGGAACCCCCCAGTACAGGGACTGGGAGATTCTCAATAAAGCTGCCCTGCAGATGCAACAAATGAGCAGGCAGCTTAGGACTGTAGTTTGCTGGGAAACAACCAAGTAGCACAAATTCTGAGAGAGTCCCAATGTATTATCAAGTCTATGTACTAATGGGGGACACTGGACCCGGTTTCCAGCAGGTGATGCTCCCCACCAATAGATGGAGCCTTGATGGATGGGCCCACTTGAGGTAGATGCTCTTATCACGACCTCAAGCGGCATCCTCAACCGAAGACTACAAAAAAAAAAAAAAAAAACCTGAAATAAACAACGTTATGCAGGGGTACAGTCCCACTAGCCGCACGAAAGGATAGGAAATGGTTGTGTGCCAATAGAACGATAGACATCTGCTTGTCATCGGTCAGCTCTTTTCCATGATTGACTGAAAAACGGACAGCTCCTTAACACTGATGATGTGTGTGCAGATAGGACTTCCCACCAAAAACTGCTCTGTTCCACGAGAGTATGCCCAACCCTAACAAGGAGGTGAGTAGCAGAGTTGGGCGATCCGACAAGCTGGTGGCGATCGTGTGGGGTCGACGTGTCACTGCAACGGACTGCGGGGCATGGGCAAACCTGGCTTGCGTGATCGGGCTAAGTGAGGTGACAACTCTGGGTAGTTGGTGGGTGCGGGCCGACAGACTTCGTGCACCAAGTTTGGAAGTGTATCGTGCTGAGAGAGAGAGAGAGAGAGAGAGAGAGAGAGAGAGAGAGAGAGAGAGAGAGAGAGAGAGAGAGAGAGAAGAAGATGAAGAAGAAGGACGCGAGACCGAGCACACGAAAACTTCGAAACACACTGTGATTCGACCACAGAAACCTCATATAAGTCAATACAGCTCGGTACGCGTTGCCCCTACGCGTTTCGCTGCTGCCGCACAACAGCAGACTCATCAGGGGGCCTGAGGTTGAGATGTCGAACCTAGAACTGCTAGTCCTATTTATACTGGAGTGCGTGCTTCGTCCATCCCCGGATCCTAACTCCTACTCTTGCGCCGAGATGACTACCTCTCGCTCCTTCTACGCTGCCTAAAGCCTAACTATGGTACATCCATCCGGCCTCGTATCGGTATCCCATTCATTATCACCCAGACCCCTTCCTGCCTCTCTCCATGGGTCGCAGTCCCTTCTCCTACCTTCGCCCCATTAGCATACATCATCGTTTCTTCATTACCTCCTACCATCGCCACTGTTTTGAGCCACCAAAATTCCTCGTCTCTGCAACTCACCATAATTTTCGCATTCCCTCCTAATCCTACTAAAGATAACCCATGACAGCCGACGTAGACTCCTCGTCACAACAAAGATAGCAAAACAGAGAAAAAAAGGAAAAAAGCATAAACGCGATAAAAAGAAAAAGGCGTAAACGTGAAAAACCCGACCGTCCTTCGACTCTTCAGACAAAGATCCGGATCCACCTAGATCGGGTCGCTGTGAATTATCCCAACCGACCAGGATCGGATGTGGATCCCACTAAACGACGTCTCACCGCTCACCGCATCCACTGAAAAGCCCAAAAAAAGTTTAAAATTAAAAAAAAAATTAAAAAATTAAAACTTAAACTTCAAAAACTAGCGACCACAAAAACACAAAAAATTCTAGTATAGCCTTTCCCTACACCCGGTTCATGATCTCTCTGAGTCCGGGGTATTCGGTGGGGAGGTAACCCCCCCACAGACCACCGGACAGCCTAGCAAACTTTGCGAGGGCTCCCAGAGAGACCTCCGGGGGGTATCCCCGGAGGCGAGTCTCCATCATCAGGGCTGCTATGGCGGCTTTCAAAGCTTCATCTGAATTCGACATTCGCTGGAGTCTTATCAATGCTGCAAAAACTGCTCCTTTCTTGGTTGACTTCTTCGAGAATGAGACGTAGTCCTGCATGGACTGTACCTTCAGGCCCATACCTCGCCTCAGGAAAGCCTGATTCCGAGTCATTGGGTGAATTAGAACCCTGATCAGATCAACCTGTACAAACATTCTGGTACCCACGAAGTCAAAAACGTTGCTTCCTTCGTCCTTCCGTACCAGCTTCAGATTAAGGTCGTAGCAAGACTCGAAAGCTTCTCTAATCCTGTGTGCTGCTAGATTTGATTCTATATTACCTAAACGATATGCCACCACAATTGCCACTTCATCAATCATCCGCACCCCCCTCAGCAATGCACGGCTTGCGCCCAACGAGTTCACGAAAACTGCTTCTGCTTTCGCACACACCAAGCATGCCAGAGCCGGACTTGAGTTCCTCCCCATGGGGATACCAAATTCCTGCTTCAGTATACTCCCTACGCATTTCACGTACGTATTTTGCACTTCGAACTGGATGATTGACTTAATCTCAGCTGAGGAGAGGTTGACACATCCCTCCCTCTTGCGATTTAGTCTCATCATGGTACAGACCTTACCCCTGAGACATACGCTTACCCCTTTGAAACCCTTTGCCGCACTTAGCTGAGTGATCCAGTCGACGGCCTCTAGTACGCTGTTGTGTGTCAGCCTTGCAAACATATCCTCAATATCATAACTAGCTGCCAGCGCACCGTCCGATGCACTCCCCAATTCTCTCACAATCTTCTCCATCCATTCCTTCAACTCATCTGTAGCCTTCAGATCGAAGTGCAGTCTACGATCAAGCACGAAGAGCATGTATCTAATGGCTCTCCCGTCTCTTGCTCCTGCCAACCTTGCTGGATCGTCCGTAGTTGGCGAGATCGGCCCCCAATGCTCCAGATCTTTGTCCTTTGGCAACACATATGCCTGACCAATCTTCCCGCCGGTCTGCCATCTCGCTACTCTCCCCAAACCCCTCCGATCAAATTCTCCTTTCATCTCTTTAAGTAACTGCTCCTCCCTTCTTCGGACAGGAGTGAAGCTCGGGTTCCGATTAAACGTAGCTCTGCATGCTTCGACGTACAACTGCGGACACAGAAGGAGCGTTGATCCTGGATTGCGATCGATGGGTACTGCGACCAATTGCTTGTATGACTTCATCACGTCCTCCACCTCTTTCACGGTCATCGCCTTGGAGTGGTCACCCGGTCCTTCCTAGTAGCATTCCCGAAGCTCGAGCACTTCTATCCTTACTGGTTTCCCCCTGGTCCATGCCCCCACTCCTTCTCTAATGCATCTCTCCAACATTCTTATGGGCACTGTATACCCGGACGTCACATTCCTAGAGTTCATAACGAAGTTCGGCATCCCTGGTACCTGGTCGATCCGGACCTTGATATGACCGCCTGCCCTAGGTAACCCCCGTACATTGCACCTACATTGAGCCTGCTCCATCTCCGCGGAAGTCCAATGGTTATGGATGATGCTGCCAACCGTCCTCCTCTTAAATTTTTGTTACCGTTCTCACCTTTGCTGCTACGAACCGTCGTAGATATGGATCAGCTATCACTCTCTCCAGAACTCTGGCCGCTACCCTCCGTACTTCGCCCAACCGGATGGCTGGTGAAAACGAAACGTTGACGCACGACTTCTTCCTGATCTCAACACCGAACTTCCCCCTCACAACCCTGGTGATCGAAGTCTTTAGTTGGTTTCGTACCTTCTTGTCCCTGAACAGCACGCATGTCCTGTACAGGGCGACTAGTTCTCGCGAGCTCCTTCGGTATAGCCCTCTGATTCTTCCTGGGTTCCTTCGTAGTTCCCTCAGGACATTCCGCCGGTGTTCCACACCACTCGGCATCACTCAGATCTCCACCGCCACAAATTCCCCTCCTTCTTCGAAAATTTCCTTACACTTCGTAATCGGGATCTCCCTATCTCCAACCCTTATCATACTCAAGCCGACCTTGCTTCTTACAACGTTCCATCTATCTATCCACATGTTTCCCCCCGTTGTGATGATGCGATGCTCCCCTGTGCTCCCCCTCATCTCCTTCAATAACTCAATGATCGATTCTCGTCCATTGCATCGGATAATTGAGTCGGCCACCATCCCGTATTTTCTCCTCCCCCTCTCCCTTCTTCCTCTTCTCCTCCTCCATTTCCCGCCATCTTTCCTTGTGCCTTCCGTGTTTAATGTCGGCGAAAATTTGCTAATGAGAGCCTTCTCCACGGCTAGAGCATCGTTCGTTCTGCTCAGTAGCGGCAGGACTAGGTAATTCTGCCATCCGAACACCTTCAGCCATGCGTGCAGCTTGAGAGCGTTCCCCCAAGTCCCGCTTTTTGCCTTCTTCACGTGGTCGGACCACCGAATGATAATCTTTCGAGACGTGCATCCAATGTAAAAGTGTTGACACCAAGGACTTACCAATACATACAAGCCCGGATCATCGGTGGACAAGTCACGCTCTTCTGCCCCGGCAAGCAACACCCAATTCCTAGCCCACGGGCAGCCTCCCCGTAACACATACAACAGAAACATCCTAAGAATCCGATCTTCAAATCCTACATCCGGATTCGCCCCTCCCTTATCGATCCTCTCACCCCTCTCTAACATAGCTTCCTTTAGTTCGGCGAGGATGTGCATGCTACTCACCCTTCACCAACTTTAGGTGATCACTTTTCGAAGATTGGAGAAAACTTACCGCTTTCAACAAATTCTTCGTATGCTAATCTTGCCTTACATCTCACCAGCTCCCCAATGGCGTTATCTTTCTTCGACCACTCAATCCCCTTCTGGCTACACAACTTCCTTATTTTTGGAACCTTCTTTTCTGACAGTCTTCGGTGTAGTTCAATCACCAAATCAAGCATCTCGGTCCCACCGGTCCCTCCTTCCGATCCCTTCTTCACAAGAGGTGGTGTCCTCACTTCCTCCTCTTCGCCATCGTCAACCTTCACTGGGTTCGTGTAATACCCTTTCTTCACGCTCTTTGAAACCCTTCCCTCTTCGTCTACCCTCTTCTTCCCCTTCCTCCTTTCGATGGCTTCGATCAACTTACCCGCCTCCTCCTTCACCTCCTCACTGTCATCGTCCGACTCGACCAAATAGCTTCGTATCTCCGAAGCATCCTCGCTTTCGTTTTAGGCGATTTCTTCTTACCGATCCCATCCTCGGTCTTACTACTCAGTCGGGTATGCTGCGTAAGCAGGCGAACCATCTGTGCCTCCAACCTCACTTCCCTCGCCTCCGCTTCCCTCATTCTCTCAATCTCTCTCCTATTTTCTTCATCCCTCCTCTTCCTTTCCTCCTCTTCCTTCACCCTCCTGTCCTCTTCCAGTTTCCGCTTACGGATCTTCTCTCTGAAATATTCTTTCATCTCCTTCGTTTCCTCATCCATGGTACCGTTCGATTGAAACGGTGGTCTCCCGTTCCCCCCTTGCCCAACAATTGTGCGCGTAGTGCCCCGTTTTCCCACATATATAACACAAGATTCCCCCTTGTTGGTTCCCACTTTGCGGACCGTTCCCATACCCTAGAATCTGCGCCGCACCCTGGTTTTGAAAGTTCGCCATGCTACCTTCTCCTTGTCTGTCTCCTTCTCCTTCTCCTTCTTTGATCCCTCACCACACAACCTAAGCTATACAGTCTCCCAAGAAACCTTTCTAAATACTCAAACAGCTCTCCTCTAGAATCGCTATCGTTGAACTGTAAAGCGATAAACAGGCTAGGTACCACGTTATCTAGTACTATCTTCTCTAAATCTACCCACAGTCGATGTACCTCTTCAATCCTAAAGTTTCGCTCCGTCATCTCTCGCTTAATCGGTAGTATGGATCCCCAAGCACGCTGCTCCTTCTGTCCTGAACGCTCGTCTCAACATCTCATATACATCTCCCCGTAAAAGCCGCTCGCAGTGTTTTACGGCCAGTCTTTTCCTATCTGAAGATGATCACACTTCCCTTCGTCACCATCCCTACTGGCTCTTGGCCCATCGACGTGCCGCACCTGGTGTTGTGCACACCTACGGCCGCGGAGTCTCCGCTCTGCTCTGATGACGATCTCTTCCCAGGAACGCTCACGCCCCGACCCCGAGGACTCGTCAACCTCGACACCTTCTCGACGCGCTGTAGAGCGCGGTATAGCGCACTATTCGTAGCCACCGCCCAGTGCAAGCGCAAACGGTTACCACGATGTTCAAGATGAAGAAGAAGAACGCGAGAACGAGCACACGAAAACTTCGAAACACACTGTGATTCGACCACAAAAACCTCATATAAGTCAATACAGCTTGGTACGTGTTGCCCCTACGTGTTTCGCTGCTGGCGCACAACAGCAGACTCATCAGTGGGCCTGAGGTCGAGATGTCGAACCTAGAACTGCTAGCCCTATTTATACTGGAGCGCGTGCTTCATCCATCCCTGGATCCTAACTCCTACTCTTGCGCTGAGATGACTACCTCTCGCTCCTTCTACGCTGCCTAAAGCCTAACTATGGTACATGCATCTGGCCTCGTATTGGTATCCCATTCATTATCACCCAGACCCCTTCCTGCCTCTCTCCATGGGTCGCAGTCCCTTCTCCTACCTTCGCCCCATTAGCATACATCATCGTTTCTTCATTACCTCCTACCATCGCCACTGTTTTGAGCCACCAAAATTCCTCGTCTCTGCAACTCACCATAATTTTCGCATTCCCTCCTAATCCTACTAAAGATAACCCATGACAGCCGACGTAGACTCCTCGTCACAACAAAGATAGCAAAACAGGGGAAAAAAGGAAAAAAGCATAAATGCGAAAAAAGAAAAAAGGCATAAACGCCAAGAACCCGACCGTCCTTCGACTCTTCAAACAAAAATCCGGATCCACCTAGATCGGGTCGCTGTGCCTTATCCCCGTCGACCAGGATCGGATGTGGATCCCACTAAACGACGTCTCATCGCTCACCGAAAAGTCCAAAAAAAATTTATAAAAAAAAAAAAATGAAAAAATTAAAACTTAAACGTCAAAAACTAGCAACCACAAAAACACAAAAATTTCTAGTACCGCCTTTCCCTACACCCGGTTCATTGTCTCTCTGAGTCCGGGGTATTCGGTGGGGAGGTAACCCCCCCACAGACCACCAGACATCCTAGCAAACTTTGCGAGGGCTCCCAGAGAGAGAGAGAGAGAGAGAGAGAGAGAGAGAAGATTGGGTTGTAATCTGGAATTTTCAAAGTCGACATTCAGTGTGTTCTCTGAGTATTGCCTCCTTCTCATCTTCTCGTCTGATTTTCTCTAATCTCTCTCGTCTTGCTCTTTCTTCCGACTTCACACCTTTTATTCTCGATAGAGTTGATACGAAAATGCATGGGCTGCACAACTGAATGAATGTTCTTCTTCCCCACTGGCTTATTTTGACAACTCAATCATAGTTAAGTTTAGATCATGTTTTGTGAATGTGAATGTACGTTGTCTGGGTACTTCTTGATGAATGTTTACGGTTCTGGTCAAATTATGTTTTTGCATATGGGAAATTGACAAATTGTGGATGAATATGGTGTATGGACAGTGTATATTAGCATTGCATATCTACTTGATGCCCCTTTTGGATTGAATGTCCTTCTTTCCCCTATCGAGAGTGTCTTGACATCTGCGAATGGGATGTCCGTAGTGCGATCGCTCGTATAGGTGGTCCTTATCACTTCCTCAGCGGAGCTGGCTGCACAGGATTCATAGATTCCAGGTTTGAGACCCGATACCACCCCTATTCCCTTGTTTTCTTCCCTACCAGGAATCGGTCATCGCCCCCTGGTCCGCCATAACCCCTCATTGGTCACATGCGCTGTGTTCTGAGTGTCGGCGCACAGACTTTTATAGACAGTGCGGGTTTCCCTACCGGACTCACAGAGAAACGGAGTTCACGGCTCAGGCCCTTCGGCTGAGAGCCTCCTCGTTGGACTCTGAGCTCTGTGAGCCCATAGGCGACATGTGGAAAGTCTGTGTGACCCCGCATGCATCCGCGAACAGTTCTGGTGCGGGAGTGTAGTCGGCTACAGGATCGAACTGGCGTCGTCCAACCCTAAGTCCAACGTCACCAAAACCATTTGCATAGTTGCCCTCCTGACCGTGCACTTATTACTTAGCGGGCAGATTCCCGTGATTCCCGTCTCCAAAAAAACCTTGACATTGGAGACCTCAGTTCCGACCTGGGACTCCAACCCCCTTTCCTAAAATCCTTGGCACACCCCCTAATTCGCACTTCTGGGCCTACTCCCACTCCGACTGGGAACTCGGGCAGGATGTGAGGTTGGACATCTACTCCCATATCTCT